TTTTTAAAATAAATTTATTTTTATTTATTTACTTTTGGCTGTGTTGGGTCTTCGTTGCTGTGCACAGGCTTTCTCTAGTTGCAGCAAGTGGGGGCTACTCTTCATCGCGGTGTGTGGGCTTCTCACTGCGGTGGGTTGTAGCGAAGCACGGGCTCTAGGTGGGTGGCCTTCAGTAGTTGTGGTGCACGGGCTCAGTAGTTGTGGCTCATGGGCTCTAGAGCGCAGGCTCGGTAGTTGTGGCTCACGGGCTCTAGAGTGCAGGCTCAGTAGTTGTGGTGCAAGGGCTTGGTTGCTCCTCAGCATGCGGGATCTTCCTGGACCAGGGCTCAAACCCATGTCCCCTGTATTGGCAGGTGGATTCTTAACCAGTGCGCCACCCAGGGAATTCTCAGTCGTCTTTTACACCCAAGATTCTTCTTGGGTCGTACTTTTAAATATCACCCTTGTAATATTTAAGTTACATTGTTTTGACTGTCTTTTTTAGAGGCTCCAATTATACAGATGTTAGAACTCCTCTAACTAGGTTCCATTTCAACTACTTTCTCTCTGACAATTTTTTTTTCTCCTTTTCATTCTCTATTTTCTTTTGTTTTTTTTAAAATTGTGTTGGAGTATAGTCGATTTGCAATGTTGTGCTAGGTTCAAGTGTGCAGCAAAGTGATTTAGTTATACATATACATATGTTCATTCTTTTTCAGATTCTTTTCCCTTACAGGTTATTATAAAATATTGAGTATAGTTCTCTGTGCTATACAGTAGGTCCTTGTTGGTTATCTATCTTATATATAGTAGTTTGTGTGTGCTAATCACAAGCTCCTGATTTATCCCTCCCCATCCCCCCTTTGCTAACCTTAAGTTTGTTTTCGACATCTGTAAGTCCGTTTCTGGTTTGTAAATAACTTCATTTGTATAATTTTTTAAGATTCCACATGTAAATGATATCATATGATATTCGTCTTTCTCTGTCTGACTTACTTCACTCAGTATGATGATCTCTAGGTCCATCCATGTTGTTGCAAATGGCATTGTTTCATTCTTTTTTATGGCTGAGTAATATTCCATTGTATGTATGTACCACATCTTCTTTATCAATGGACATTTACGTTGAACACTGAGGTGAACTACTATGAACACTGAGGTGCCTGTATCTTTTCAGATTATGGTTTTCTCTGGATATATGCCCAGGAGTGGGATTGCTGGATGATATGGCAGTTCTATTTTTACTGTTTTCTCCATAGTGGATGTACCAATTTACACTCCCACCAACAGTGTAGGAGGATTCCCTTTTCTCCACAGCCTCTCCATCATTTATTGTTTGTAGACTTTTTGATGATGGCCATTCTGATCGGTGTGATGTGATATCTCATTGTAGTTTTGATTTGCATTTCTCTAATAATTAGTGATGTTGGGCATCTTTTCATGTGCCTTTTGGCCATGTGTATGTCTTCTTTGGAGAAATATTTATTTAGGTCTTCTGCCCATTTTGTGATTGGGTTGTTTGTTTTATCAATATTGAGCTGCATGAGCTGCTTGTAAATTTTGGAGATTAATCCCTTGTCGGTCGCATTGTTTGCAAATATTTTCTCCCATTCTGTGGGGTTTCTTTTTGTTTCACTTATGGTTTCCTCTGCTGTGAAAAAGCTTTTGAGTTTAATTAGGTCTCATTAGTTTATTTTTGTTTTTATTTCCATTACCCTAGCAGATGGATTGAAAAAGACCTTGCTGTGTTTTATGTCAAAGAGTGTTCTTCCTATGTTTTCCTCTAAGAGTTTCATAGTATCACATCTTCTATTTAGGTCTTTGATTCATTTTGAGTTTATTTTTGTGTCTAGCATTAGAGAATGTTCTAGTTTCATTCTTTTACATGTAGTTGTCCAGTTTTACCAGCACCACTTATTGAAGAAACTGACTTTTCTTCATTGTATAGTCTTGCCTCCTTTGTCATAGATTAATTGACCATATGTATGTGTGGGTTTATTTCTGGGCTTTCCATCGTGTTCCATTGATGTGTATATCTGTTTTTGTGCCAGTACCATACTGTTTTGATGACTGGAGCTTTGTAGTATGGTCTAGGGTCAGGGAGCATGGTTCCTCCATCTCTGTTTTTCTTTCTCAGGATTGCTTTGGCTATTCGAGGTCTTTTGTATTTTAATTTGTATTCCATACAAATTAAAAAATTTTTTTGTTCTAGTTCTGTGGAAAATGCCATTGATAATTTAATAGGGATTGCACTGAATCTGTAGATTGCCTTGGGTAGAATAGTCATTTTGACACTTGATTCTGGTAGCAGCTTTAGGATTCTCTATGTATAGTACCATGTCATCTGCAAACAGTGACTACTTCTGCAAACAGTCTTACTTCTTCTTTTCCAATCTGGATTTCTTTTATTTCTTTTATTCCTTTTTCTTCTCTGATTGCTGTGGCTAGGACTTCCAAGACTATGTTGAATAAAAGTGGCAAGAGTGTGGGAATTCCATGGTGGTCCAGGGGTTAGGACTCGGTGCTGTCACTGCTGTGGCCAAGGTTCAATCCCTGGCCAGGGAACTAAGATCCCACGAGCTGCATGGCATGGCCAACAAAAAAAAGTGGCTGAGAGTAGACATCCTTGTCCTGTTCTTCATCTTAGAGGAAATGCTTTCAGCTTTTCACTGTTGAGTCATTTTCTGTTTTCTTGTATTGCTCTTTTCGTTTTACTCTATTATTTTCCTCTTGGATATTTCATAATTCACTCTTCATTTCTGACATGATTTTGCCTTTTTGTTCTTTTTTTTCCTTGAATTCAACTGACTTATATTTCTCCTTGTTTTCTTGTCTATTACTGTTCATTGTATTTCTCACTCGAAAGTATCTTTTTTTTTTAATATCCCCAAATGCTTAGTTAATGATAATCCATTCAGTTTGGAGTGTTGTGTTATGGTGTACATTTTTTGGCTTTTCGGTTTTTCAGTTCTGTCCTCCACTTAAGTTTCTTTTATGAATTTAAAAACCTTTTATGGTTATTGGGTTTTGCTGTATAATTTTGGGGGTGTGGTAAGCAAAGACTGTTATTTCTTGCTTCTCTTTTCATTCCTGCAGGATTTTTAATTTCCTTGTTTTCCTTCACTACCACACTTCTAAGGGAAGCTAGCCCTTCTCTATATATCTGATTCTCCCTCAGAAGCAATACTTCTCTGAGGCATCTTCAGGTCCCACTGTCTTTCTAATCACTTCCTTATATCTTGTGCTGTGAACTACTATGTCCAGACCTGTGTTCACTATTTTGGCATTTAGTGTTGGACTTTAATTTTTCTGGAGATGCTTTTGTCTGTGCTTCCTCTAAGTTTTCCATGCCTCTCTACTCTTAAGTCTCTACCCACTCTCAGAACCCACAGGTTTGCAATGATGGGAGGGTAGAAAGAACTCTTTTAGACTTCTCTACTTAATACCAGAACCTTCTAAATGCCTTGTCTCCTGGTCATGCTGAAGAGATGAGTGATATGTGGTTTTACTTCCTCTGCTGGTTGATTGGATGTTTTTTTGTTTTTTTAAAGATGAGGAAGGTCAGGCAGCTGCCATCGTCCTCCAAAAACCATTGTAAGAAGGCTCTTAATTATGGATTCAATCTCTCTCTTTATTAGACACGAAGCTGTTTTAATTTTCTTTTTCATTTGTTTTCATTATTATCAGATTTTGTCAGTTGTAATTTGTTGATTTCATATATATTTTCAAGCTCGTTCACATAATGTTCTTAATATTCTGTTTATTTTATGTAGGATCAGGAATGATAAACAAGACATTATCATTTTTTGATCAGTCTTTTTAGGAATGTGGCAGTTTTTAAAATACTATAATATCTTTGACATTTCTGCCATCAAGAGGTGAAGTCTATGCTGCCTCCCCTAGACTCCATGAGGACAGTGATGGCTTCCACCAATAATGTACTGTAGATGTGATGCTATATGAATTCTGGGGCTAGGTCATAAAATGCCTTGCAGCTTCCTGCTGGTTCTAGGGGGATGTTTGCTCTAGGGAAAGTCAGTTGCCATTTAAGGAATCTGACTATCCTGAGAGCACAATACTGTGCAAGTGACAAAGAGAAAGATAAAACTATTAGCATGAAGGCAACTAAAACACAAACATGCAGTGCTTCTTACTAGTCTATCCTGAGGACAATGCCTGCCCTTTGCCCTCACAAATCCTACACAATTTCAGTACACTGAGAGGCATGTGGTTTAGAGAGCAAAGAATTCAAATAAGAAATATTACATAGGAAACCAAAGAAGTACAGATTTAATGGATGAGGCTGTCAGGGAGTATAGTGGGCGCTTCATCCACTCATGTGAATAACTGGTTTGAATATATTTTTAGTCTGTTCCTCACCCCTACTTCATATTACAGAGTGGAGATCAATTAAGATTTAACATGCAATGTTGACATATCCCTACTTATCCACCACTCAGTGAACATGCTGCTTTCCTAACTATGGAAAATAAACATTTAATATTATAGTATACAACAAGGACAGTGAAAAGCCTTTAAAAAAAAAAAAGTGATGGATTAGGTAAGTTCAGAAAACCTCGGCACCTGGTATAACGCTTGGAACCAATGGTTATTCAATTACTATTTATTAGATGAATGTGAATGAATCAGTTCCTTTCAAGTACCTTATCAGCACAGACCACTTTCTGGTCTAAATCACCACAAGTATGACATGTAATAAAAAGTTACTGAACTATTAATTCATATTCTTCAAATGTTTGGTCCTTCTGGGACCATATCTACTTCCTTGTGAATAGTTTATTCTCTTTCAAGGTAAGATGTTTCCGAAAAAGGATTAAAATAATCTATAATCCCCTAAGGAAAAAAAAAAAAACCTGGTGATTGTTTTTGGCTAAGGAGGGAAAAAAGTGGAAAAGGCTTTAATACTTAAGTGGAGTTTAGTAAGTTATTCTGTAGTTTTAGAGTGAGTACATCACATATAAAATAAACGAACAACTTATAATAATTTGTGAATAGCCTACCAAATCCTGGAACACATTTGAGAGTGGCTTTGAGGCAAATTTTCTCTAATCTGAGGTAGCTGTATCTCATCAGACAATTCCACAGGAACATCCAGTCCATTCTTGTCCGATGATTCATGATAATGACACTTCTTTCTCCAGGAACAAATGCATCACCTGTTATAATCACTTTTACACCAAACACGGTCTCCAGCAATGCCTACAGAAAAAGCAATACAGATATTTAACAGTTTAAAGTTATGATTTTCCATAGGTAAATTTTATCATGTCCTATAAATAAATCTGATTTCTAATAAGTCAAAAGCATGTTATTTAAGAAAAAGAAGTTAATCTGGAAGAACATGAAGGCACTGTTTCAAGTTTCTGGCAGTTCCCTAATTTAAAAATGCTAACTTTCATTGAAATCTTCAAGATGGATTATTAAGACAAAAAGAAAAAGTACAAAAGGCATACAAAAAGTTTCCACTGTGTAATTTTTTCAGGTTATACATATATAAGGATTTTTAAATTTTTTAATAAAAAGAATAGTCAAGAAATTTAATACTGAACATAGGACTGAGGGAACAGAGTCAAATTTTTCATTTTATACCTTTCTGTACTAAGATTTTTTTAAACAAATACACATATCTGTTTTTTAAATATACAAAGAATGTACATTTACTAAAGTGCTGCAGCCCCAGTACCTACAACAGTGCTTGACACATAGAAGATCAAATATTTTATTTGCCAAATTTGCTTAATTAACTTTTCTGATGGCCAGGCATAAAGTATATATGAAATATTTAGAAGAAAATAAATTACAGACTGAAGTTCTTGAAAGGACAATAACATATTAATACTGATTTCAATGCCCACTTAAATTTCTGAATAATTTACATGTAACAAATTTACTAGTTAATAAATATTTGACTAATGGAGAGAAAACTGGTCCACAGCACATAAAAGACAAGAAAATCGAAAGTTCTCTGGCAATATTATGAAAGCTTTGATCAAAGTATAGCAAAGAAACTGTGGTACAGTTATGCAATGGAATATGATACAACAATGAAAACAAATGAACTGTGGACAGCTACAGCAACATGGACAACATACAAGCATAATGTTGAGAGAAAAAGAAACAAACAAGAATATATACATCAAGTGTCCATATATAAATCTTTCTGAAACAGACAGTAACTAAGATATTCTAGGGATAAATATACAGATGGTAAAAATACAAGTGGCAAAATTAAAAAGAAAAGCAAGGAAATAACTAACTTACAAGTCAGGACAGTAGCTACTTCTACTAGATAGGAAGGTGTCGCGACTGGGAAGCTCGGTGGCTGCTGACAACTTCCTACTTCCTGATTTGGCTGATAGTTACACTTTAAAATTATTTATCGAAGTGCCTTTATGTTTTATTAATTTTTCAGTATATTTAAAAGAAGTATAATACAAAAGAACAATAGGACCTCAACTAGGACCAAGAAAAAAACAAGTTAAAAGGAATATTAGCTTTAAAAACAAGTTAGATATGTTTGTTATTATGTCCACAGTATTACAGAGTCAGAGGGTTAAGATGTACAACATGATCATTTGGACTAAAGTAGCTACAAAATGCCTGCGGTTTTCGTCAAATTTTCAAAAGCGTCCATAACCACTCAAATAGTTATAATCCCCCCCCTCACTCCAAAGTCTGGGAACTTAAGTTCCAATGTAGAAGAGAGTTCAGGATGGAGAGGATCAGGGAGGAGCCCTCTAGACTTGGACCCACAGCAAGAAATAACCATTTTTCCACTTAAAGTGTAAAGGGCTGTCAACTACCAAAGTGGATCACTGAATTAAATGTCTTGGCCCAGATGACATGTCTGAAGTCACCATCCAAGGTTAGTTTAGATCAACCCCACTCTGCATTCCAAATATGATATACTTTTCAGATTTTGCAAAGAACTGAAATGCAAGGAACCCTTCCTTTAACTGGTAGAAAGAGGCAGCTGACTACTAATTGTATGTTGTACTATAGAAAACAGTTAAAAACCTTAAGCCTATAATTCCCAAACAAACACCAACTCTCACCTTACATGTGTAATTTCTAATACATGTTTCCTATGAATCCCAAAACAATCGTTAGCCTTTCGTTATAGTGAATGTCAAAAAAAAAAAATCCTAGACTGTAGAGGAGCATATCATGAAGTATTCTCCTCCCTGCCATCCAGCACTCTATCAGAATGTGCCTGCAAGTTATATATAATCTTCTGGGCAGCCTAGATCTCTAGTTCACATTAATCATTTTTAATACCAGATAAGACATACCCAGTCAACGTTATTTACAGCTCCTGCAAAAGCAGAATAACAAATACACTATAGAAATAAAGTTGTAATGCCTATAAAGAACTCCAGAATTCAAATATTCCAGATCAAAAACTGTTTAAAAAAAAAAGACACTATTCTCATATTCCTCATATTTGTTGTTTGTTTCTAGTACAGAAAATAACAGTTTTAGCAGTAAGAAACAAATCTTATAAAATTTTATGTCTTAAACTGAACCAAGAGTGATAATTCTCATGACTTTTACTTAACTGGTCAAAGATCTCGCCTAGAATTAGAAACACAGAAGTTAATTTCTGAGGATCTTTTATATACCACTATTTACTACCTCCAAGTGTGTATGAAAACAAAGATGAATGGGTCCCCTCATGATCACAGACAATCAGTTTTGCCATCATGCCCCATGTTCCTATTTATTACTCCAGTGGATCTTTACTTAGTCTGATGTAAGGAAGATCTATGACGTTCCTCATCTCCAAGTCTGCCTTGGCTTTTCAGACTAAGCTTAAGGTCCGGCTCCTCAAATCCTTAGCTATTTAAAGACGTGCAATCCCAAGTCATTCATCAATCCCAAATCATTCATCAAAGACTGAGACCCCCTTTCTTAAGAGGAGCAGTCTAGACGGAAATTATATTCAGTAATCTATGTTTGTTGAACACCTGTTGTGTTCTAGGATGGGAATGGAATCAGCAAGCTGTGGAAGAGACATGTGTCCTAGATGGGGAGTTAGAAAATGACTGCTGGATTCCTACGACATGATTTATGGTGAAAGGACAGAACTCCAAGTAGTTCTAATAATCTCAGTAATTAGCTAACAAACACTGTTGGAAAGACTCAGAACTTTCAGAAGGAAAAACTGCTCTGGGCACAAGCAAAGTTTGACCTGACAGTATTGATTATGCTGAAGAGAACCATTCAAAAGTTAAATGAACAAGGATATGTACTCCTCATTACAAAAATGTTCCAGGGGAGACTGAATTGCAGAGTAGAAGTACTTTGCAGACTTCAGGAAAGGATTCTCAGACACACAGATAAGTTAGACTAGGTGACCTCAAAGTCTCACCTAAGATTCTAAATGATTTTATTGTGGTACCTCATTTAACAGAAAATGTGCCAGTTAAAAATAGTAAGATAAGAAAAATCTTGCCAATGAAATCATTTTAAGGAACAGGAGAAGCTTACAAAAGAAAAGATCATTTGTGACCATTTCTGTGAAGCAATAATTAGACTAAATGCATTTACCCTAATTTATTTTTACTGAAAAATTATTTTTAACTGGTTGGGATTGCTTAAAATAAAGTACACCTATGGGGAGAGAAAGCTAAATTCCTTCTGAATAAAAAAATGATCTGTTGTACTATTTGCTTCAAAATAAAAACTCCATTAGCACCTTATGAAGGTATGAAATAAAAGATATAAAAGACACCCTGACAGTTTTTCCTCCATTTCTTTTAACAGAGGTGTTCACTTTCTCAAAACTAGAACATCAACTTTCTATAACCTCGCTACAAGGGATTCAACTTCTATAAATTTCTAACTGAATGACTCTCTGCTCGATATGCCACTACTGGTGAGTAAGCCAGTGAGTTAAAAAGTTGAGTAACAGAAGTTTTTGCAAGTATACACCAATTTAACACTACAGTGGTGGTTGAATCTTGCCTATATGATAAGCTCTGAAGAGAGGTAGTAAGGCAAAAGTCAGGAATAGCTGAAATTACCCTTGAATATCTCATAGGAAAGTACCTACAAGAGACCAGCACACATCAGTAAGAGCAGCTCAGCCTGTTTTTTCTAAATGTTGGACCAGATTTCTCCAACTGACCATCAGATGAAATTATTGGTTTGCATATTGTTTTAAACACAAGAATCATATTCAGCACCGGACCACTCACATTTCAAACATTCAGTCTCATCTCTCCACTCTCCCCATATCCGCCCTAGTACACGTAAGTGAAGCTGTAGAAGGTAAATAGATATATGACATAATTCTGCTGTAACAGTATTGGTACTAGTAGTAACAGTAGTAGGAGCAGCTATGGCTTAATTTGTCCATTTCTTCCAGAGTAATAGATTTTAATTGTGTCCATGGCTGTCAGAAAAAAAGACTACACTTCCCAGATTCTGTTACAGCTTTTAGCTGTTCTCACCAATGGGGTGAGCAAGAGAGGTTATGTACAACTTGTAATTCACTGGTCTAAAGGGAAAGCACTTGCTCTGGACTTCCTTCCTTCCCCACTTCCTGCTGAGTGGGGGAAAGAAGGGGTAGTGAACAGTCTTGACCATATAGAAGAGGATATTATGCCAGGCTGGGTGGAAGGAATCGGAGTCCCTGAGTGACATCAGGGAACAAAGCTAACCTATCAACCTGGACTTGAGGGTGGATAAAGTTCTGCCTTTTTCCAGCCACTATGTTTTGAACTTTCTTTGATAATGTAGTTTAGCCTACCCCCTAAAACTTTTATAGTAGCAAACATTTACTGCTTACTTTGGAAAGGCTATGTTCATTATCTCATCTAGTCATCACAATAACTCTGTGGTAGGCGGTATTAGAACTCCTTTATTTATTTATTTATTTTTAAACAGATGAAGGAAGAGAAGTTTAGAGAAGCTAAGTAGTTTAGCCAAGTTCAAATGACTAGAAAGTGGGAAGGCCAACAGTGAAACCAAAAGTCTGTTTCTAATACCTGTACGAATAAGCAGTCTGCTTATATTGGCTTTCCAAAGAAATTAGATTGATTAGACCCTGGAAAGCATAACAATTGCAATGATTTCTACCAATGTGGTAACTCAAGAAAATACTCAAAACTCTTACGGTTTTGGTGGAGAGATTCAGCCAAAAACATGTAATTTATAATCAAAAAGTCAAAGTCATACACTGTGGAAAATTTATC